CGTGTATCGTAATCAATGGAGATAAATTCATAATTAATGGGGCACGATGAGACGCCGTTAAATTTAAGGCCGCTCGTTACCCGGAGGCGCGTTCTCGCGCCGAATTTTCGGCCACCAAGGCACTTGCCCGTCCCGCGGGATCGATTAATAAAAATAATTCGATAATAGGGATATATTTTATAAATCGGTTTCCCGGTGATAAGGATAAGTCGGTGAGTGGCGGAAAGAGTGACGTGGAAGACGGGGTGCACACATTGTCAACGCGAAAGCGACAGGTAATCGGTTTATTTGAATAGCAGGATAACGTGTAACTCGTCTACTTGAATATTTAGAGGATGATATTCATGAAATTGATATATTCTTTCCCCCGAGGGGTAAATTTGCATACCTTATTAACCGTTCGAGTCCCAGGCAGCGCGATTGCGCTGTTCAGATTTTATTTCGAGAAAACCCAGCACATTTCGAGCGTTGTGGACAACTGACGGTGCGTCACCGATTGTCAAAGTCGCTCAGATTCACTGACCCAAGTACATTACACAGCTCCTTCTTTTAACCTCTTAACTTACAATATCGTGTGAGAGACGTGGTAAATCAATCGGGCCAAACGTGAACAAAACGTGTGAGAGACGCGGTATGTCAATCGGGCCAAATGTAAACAAACCGTATGAGAAGTTACATTCAGCCAAACCGTGAAATGGGCCGATGTATGACCGACACTTTTGTTGTTTATGGCACGCGCTATTGGAATTTAAATCGTAACGCAAGGGTGTAAATAATACATCTTACAATTCAAGAAACGCTATCGCGCCGAGTGGGATCCATCGACATTAAATAAACAAAGCGCTATCGCGCTGCTTGGGTCTCCTCGTACTCATTTAGAGAAAGCGCGGTTGCGCTGTTCGGGATTCTTCGACAGTGTTTTTTCAATACCCCCTAGGACTCAAACGGTTAAATCGAATTCCAGACTACAGCGATAGGCGATGGGACGTTATGTTCTCTTTTTTATTTTAATTTTTTTAATTCTTCTTCCTTCGTTTTTCTTTTAATACCTACCACGTAGAGTGGGTATAATCTGCATTATTCTGCACTTATCATCCCGCGAGTCGCGTTATTTGAGGACTCGGGAATATGGTCGCGGATCTCGGAGTGACCTTTCATATAATTGTTGGAGAAGGATGGAGCCGCAATCTCGTGCGAATCGATGGCGCGAATTAGACCCGCGATATTGCCCGGCGAGATTGCCTCGTAATCATCGGCCTGGATAAGGATAGGGGGATCTTGCTCAGCAATGAGAGCATCGATGCACCTCGCTTCGAGAATCGTGTAGATATTACGAGAGGGAGAGAGAGAGAGAGACCGTGACACGAAGTAAATCCCGGTAAAATAATTTCGCGATACCTCACATAGAGATTAGAGCTTGATATACCCGCGCGAGTAACGCAGGTAATTAATTTCGGTCATGAGGAGGAATTAAGTATGCGCGACGCGTCGCGGTTGGTTTGCGTATTTCATGACGCGTCGCGCGTCTGATTTTCGGTCAATAGCCACTTGAGTTAGTCTTTCTCCTACATACTTTTTTATATATTCCTCGACCCTACGAGCTCGTGTGTCGCTTTTTCAGATTTTTCTTGAATTAATTTTTTTTTTTTAGAATATTCAAGAAACTTCTCGCAAGGCAATCGGCGCATTGTATTCCCAGGTTATAGATAAGAGGTCGCAGGGGGGCGAGTCGAGAAACCCATGAAACTTTCCTCGGTGGTTCGTACAATGGGTAATTTGACCCGAGTCACGATCGGAACGATGACGTGCCAATTGTCATGCAGGTCACAGGTGACTCTCCCAGAGAGCGTCACGCACAGGACGCACTCTGGTACGTCGTTCAGATATCGCTCCTGCGTCGCCCTGATACGCACTTGCGTGTATTTTCGTGTACCATTCGCGTGTCGCTCGACAACGGAGGTTAGGTCGCCTTCGCGGGGGGGAAGGAAATGCCCGATGCGCGTATCGGGACTTATCGGAAGGGAAAGAGGGGCGCACACCACGTGCTACGATTGCACTCGCACGTACCTTTTTATGCAACCACGTAATTGTTATCCGACTCTGCTGCATACAATGAGGGTCATCGATAGGGTGTTTGAGTATTTCTCGCTCGAAAGTCATTCTATACGAGTGGCGAAAAATCGAGGCGAGGGACGGGCGTCTCCGACGATTGCGCCGCCATCTTGGATTTCTGCAAACTCTCACTTTTAGCTCTCTATATGTATACGATTTTATTTTCTTCATGCCCGGATAAAATGTCAGCCCTGTGCGACCCGATTTTTGTTTTCATGCTCAGATCAAATGTCACGTACAATTTGCATGACCGAACTATAAGGTACTACATTAGGCGTTTTGTCAGGAAAATCAAAGGATGATTGTGTGATATAGATAGACGGGGGTGTACGTCGTGTATCTGTGATTTCATAGTCACGTGGCGTTACAGAGGATTTTAATCGAGACGATGTTAGATTCTTAGTCCGCTTTTTAACGCCGATGAGGGAGCTCGCCGTGGAAGCCGCGCTTCAGGTGACTTTAGACGGCAAGATAGGAGTCGATGAAATTTATGCAAACTAATGCTCGAACTAATGATATGCCTACACGTTGGACTCGACTTAAACTTTGGCCGAAGGTTAAACCCGTAAACGCAATTCGGTCGGGGAGAGTGCATTTCTGCGTTGCCTCGCGGTCGCGATTCGCTGATGGGAAAGTTTTGCTCGGAGTAACTTTAGAAATTTCTTCTTCCTTTTTTTTTTTCTTCTTCTTTTATTCCTGCAAATTCGTTGCGAGATATCCCGCCGATAATTGTCATGCACCGGCTGTATCGCCGAATTTGCTCGATGTTATCGATGGGGCGCGCTTTACGATCCCGCCGCGCGTTTTTGACGGAACGCAAATCCGTGCCGGCGCTTTTACTGCACTTGTCTCGTTAAGGCAATGCCTGCATAATAACCGGCTGCATACATAAAGTATCCGCGAGCGTGCCCACGTACAATAACAACGAGGAAGAATGTTTATCCTTATTTTTACAGCCATTCGGAAAGTGAACGCCACCCGTGGAAAAGCTCCTCGAGCTTCGGCCGTAAGTGCCGCGGCCCTCGTTACGCACTCGTTACATGCTAATTCGGGGCCCGTACTCTCCTTTTCGTGCAAATACGAGCTTCTAAATTCTTCCCTCGTCGGTGGATTTATTAATGATAACCTTTTTGCCGCAATTTGCCGCAGTTTGCCTCGCGGCGAGCGCGAGGAAACTCGCCTCGCCCGAGAAAACGTTCCTTCGACGTATCTGAAAAAAAAAGAAGAAAAATCCATAACGACGATTTTAATGACCCGAATTTTTTCTTTTTTTTTTCCAACGCATTTTCGACACGTGTGCATCTGTTCTCCGTGTTATGTGTTACGATATTTTGAGGGGAAAAAAAATTTTAACGTCGTTTGCGGCAAATAAATTCCGTTCGGTTGGCATACCGAGGCGCCGGCCAGCTCGAGCGCAAAGGGTTAATGCCGCCTCCGGGGCAGAATGCGGTTTGCTTTTTATTTATTATTTAATAATTGCCGAGAATTAAATTAAACGTTCCTTCGGGTTATCGAATTCTAGGATCGCGAAATACGACTGATCGGCGAAGGCCATTCGTTACGGTCGCCTGGGATTTCTGTTACCCTGGGAAATGTCGATTATGAAGTACTCTTTGAAACGATCCTCCTTACCTTCGTCGAAGCCATCGGCCCCCGATTGGCCTGAGTTAATTGCCTCCCTTGAAATAACTCGACTTCGTAATCGAGGGAATTTCATTGCCGGGAAAATCGTTACCGAGAGCTCGTCAATCACGAACCGACGTATCGTCGAGGCGAGAAAATTCGACAGCTATTTTCATCTATAATCGTTTTCAACGTGGAGGAGTTGCCTGATAACGATCGCAATTAACTCCGAAATTACCGTGCATTATTTCTTAGTTGGCGACACGTGCATCGGTCTTATCGAAAGTGACGGAAAAAAAAAGGAGAAAATGGCTCTCGAAATTATAGAGATTATCGAAATGGTATATTTATTAAAAAAAAAAGAAAGAAAAATCTTAATTTCCGTTGACTCAAGTTGTTTTTATGATAACAGGGAACGAGGGTCGGTTGGACTGTCTTATGGAGTATCCCTCTAATTAATCGGGCTGAGGAACCGATGATTTTGAAAAATTATGAAAAATGCTCATTTTAAACTCGAAAACGCGACTTTTTCCATTCGTCATTGCTCAGGTGAGATAGGGACAGGATAAGAGAGGTGACCCTGGCGGGCTGAATATATATATTACGTGAAGTAGGGTCCCGTGTAGTGGCTCGTGACTGTTGAACTTAAGTCTTTCGGTCGCTTCTGCGTGATTAGCAATCAGTCGGCTGGAAAAGTCACCTTGCCTTGCATGTCGGCCGTTTCCGTCAACGCGGAAGTCCAGTTTTTGCTGGTTCGAGATAAACCCGATCAGTCGTAGCAGCGGATGCACGGCAAATCCCTGACATTTTCACACCTCCAAGGTTCTCAAAAAAAAAAAAAGGAAAAAAGGAAGAAATTCATTATCAATCATTCTTTACCTCGATCGCGATACATCCAGAAATCCCGATATTAATAGTCAAATCGTGGCGTCGTCGCCAAACCGTGACGCAAGGTACAAAGATAAGACGGCAATGATAATCGGAGCTTTTTGTCTCTCCTCAGACGGTGGGCTTTCGTCGACGCCTCGGCTGTATGCACTGCAACTGTTCAGATAACCTGCACCTGCAATTAGGAGGAGAGAATACTTGGCGTTGAAAGACTCGGCGTCAAGGATTGCGTATATATCCCGTTGCGTTAAAACATGGCATTAAAAGTGACGCTCAACGTTGAGAGGAATCATTTTCGAGAGGGACCTTTGGTCGGCGAGGAAGTCGCCCGTCTGCCCGACGTAGAATTCGTTTAATCCACGGCCGTTTGCTTGCAGGTTATGGGCCGGCAGCAGTACATCGTGCGACCAATGGTCATGGACGGCGAGGGAGAGGGCAACGCCGGAAGTGAAAATCCGGTCGTCGCGGGAAGCAGCGGGGTCGTCAGCGAGATGGCCCTCGCGCATGCGCCGGCCCTCACCGAGGAGGTCCTGAGGGAACACGGGATCCCCCTTCAGCAAGCCATCCACCAGGTACCAGAACATCTCATACCTGAAATTTTCATCTTTTTCGTTAATATATATCCACGAGTCGGGATCCAGAGCCGCGAGAACCCGGTCGCGTTCCCGGTGCCTTTTACGCAATTCCTCTTTCTCCCCTTTCTACTCGGCTCTCGACGAAAACGGCGTAACCTGCCTGCCTCCTCTCTATCCACTCTACGTCGTAATGCCGGGTTCACCTACCGTGGCGACTGTTGCGCCATTTTGTCCTACTAGGACGCAACGACGGTGAATATTCCCTCTAAATCGAGCCGGAGTGTGTTTAACGTGGTCGCTCTTGCTCGTCACGGTTTACCTCATTCCCTGCAATTTCTGGTACGCGGACTTATGAACGAGGGTTATGCAATTTCTTGTGACCATTGTTAAATTCACTCCTGGCTGTTTGAGGGGACCCTGGGGTGGATGGGTTTTGGAGATACACCGATGTATGGCGGGTTGCTCGCCGTCTTGAGCGGGCATCAGGATGTCAATGTTATCAGTGGCACGAATGCACTTGGTACGTCGACTCGGCACTATATGGCGCCACGTTGTGTCATTGAAACCGACGAAGCGGTTCATTTTAACTATAGCCTATCGATGACACCCCTGCAAGATCTCTCCCCCGATCGTATGGTGTATATTAAATGATTCCGAAATTGAGTCACCTGCACGGGGCCATTGTTGCCGCATGTGGGCCTCCATTGTCGGGATCGTTGATCCCGAAGAGAGGTGTCGTCGCTTAAATTCAGTCGACATGCGGGTGACAAGTACGACGACTTTACCGACATGCGATAACAATTACTCGATACGGGCCTGATCATTAGGTCGATCCGAATTTCCAGCTGCAGGGACCTGTATAATGGGGTTGGGCACAGGTTAACGAGTTTGGTCGCTTTTAAGTACCTTGATGATGTTCCTGAAATTCTTAGTTCGTAATGAGGTAGTTTAGTGTCTATACCTCTTGGTTATTGGCCGGGAATTAAAATAGATTCAGGTAACAATGGTTAAAGGTACGCGGTGAGTTTTGGAGGTCGTAGCACCCTGTCTGGGTATTTATCGTATTTCGGAGGGCAATTTTATAGATTTTATAAATTAAGGAATATCTTCTGATGGGATTCTTTTCATTTGCAGTTCGAGACGTGGTGGTCGTCCCTCTCGTACATTCCCAGCGGATGTTCACCGAGGTTCATCGTCGACGGCCAGGCACCCTTGAGGCAGTGCCTCCACCCCGAGTCCTGCAACAAGGACATCGAGCTGCCGACGCATTACACCCTCTTCCACGATCTTCGCAAGGAGTTCGCCACCTGCTATTCCGCCCATGACGAGCTCTCCACTCGGAGCATCCAGGAGATGACTCAATGTATCCTTTTCTATGTAGCGTACGTCGTTCCACCGTGGTCGTATCTTCTACAGGCGCGTATCGTTGAGCGTAATAACGTGTAAAATCAAAGGGCCTTCGCGTGATTACGCGTGATTACGCGTGATTACCCGGGACGAGGTACTAACAATCGGTCATACCTGCGATTTTCGCAATTTGGATATTTTAAAGCCCGATTTGAGCTTACCCTGGTGCAGGGATCGGAAAGTGTGGCTCTCGGGATGGTGAGAGTGGACTCGAGTATCGGATTCCTAACTTCAGGACTTTTAATTTTCACGATTCCAGGAGATTGCGCTAGGATTTTTAAACTTCCTTCAGCTGGCTGTATTTCTTAGATGCACGCATGCATCGTTACCTGCAAATCCAGGCCAGACAACGGCGCACTTTGCCAAAGGAGGTGGATAGTCGGTTATCGCGTTATCACGCGTCCCATTCACGTGATGTAAAGTATCCCGGGCTCGGATGATTTTTTTCCTTTTCCCGTACCTCTTACTTTTTTCCCATTTCCATTGTCCATCAACGTGTATGGTTCGTTGCGTAATCATTCGAAACGGATTTCCTTTGCCAAGTGGCTTAGATATTTCCATTGTCCACCCCTTAAGGTACAGACGGGCCGTTTACCAGGTCTTTAGTCAAATTGGATAAAAAAAAAAATTAACGATTGGACGACAGTAATTTTTCAGCCTTGAAATTTTCTTCTTTCTATCTAGGTCCCGTTTAAACGACTGGATTGCTTTCCTGCGACTTGAGTCAATTTCGGTCGATGTGATTCGAGGTGGATTGGAATTGTTCGCGAAATCTGGTGGAATCTGGGGGATGAATTAACGCGTTCGGAAATTTGTCTCGAGGCGAGAAAACATGCTCGACCGGGCTCTCCAAATTTACACCGATAAGTGTATCTCGCGTCTCCTGATAGAGGTATCGTTGCATGCCAGGTCAAAAGAAGTGGCTCCGAGGGCGAAGAGATTAGGCTAGTCGTTCGTTGTAGACGCGGCCTTAAAGTTTGTGCAGCGACCGGGGGCCTCGTGTGCTCGCGAGTGCACACGAGGAGGTACCTTTCCATGTGTGTTACGGGTCAGCGATGTCAGTGTTTCTCAAGCTCATTATAATCGCAAAGCTGTCGCAAGGCGGTTCTTTTCCTGGAGGTATATAATGCCATCTCGAGGCTTACTTTGGACGAAAAAAAAAGAAAATTGCCTCGAGTCGCGACGTCACTTGGAGCGTATATTCTGCTTAAACAACGCGTAAATCAATACTCAGCTGGACCGGGCTGAATTGATTGGGCCGAATATAATTACCTTTATCGCCTTCCCGAGGATACAATTATATATCCCTTTCATGGAGCTATTTATCCCAACAATTGAACCCCCGAGGTTGTACACCTCAGATAAAAGGAATAATTGAGGTCTGCATTTACTCGACATCATTTTTTTCTCCCGTCGTTTCGTCCCGAATTTCTTCGCATTCCAGTTATTTTTTTTTCCCCCTGGATTTCGGCAACTTTGAGATTCACTGGCCGAAGACGGCTCAGGTTACGATTCTTCCATACACTTCTGTACCTTGGGGGGCAGGGGTTTTCATTTGATCGCGTACCTGCGTTATGTCGTACCCAGAGGGAATATATTAACGTTTGAAAAAAAAATTGTTGACAGTTTCAAGGAGTGCAGGAGGAATCCTTTTCACGGACGTACAGAGTCCCTCCGATGAGCATCGCATAATCGGGTTATAATTGACTGGGCGTGGAAAATATCGCGTTAAGAATTTATGCTAATTGGGAGCTTTTCATAACGAAGTAGAAGTCGCGCGTTCCGTCGATACTAGATCTCCCGACTAGGGGAACCTTGACCTCGATGATAGGTTTTCAAAGAAGCTGAACTTTTTCACTGCGAGACCGCTCGCGCCATCTCGGCGGGCAATTCCTTCTACGTGGCATTGCGCAACTTAACCAGGAAACCGGTGTAGGCATATTCCAAATGACCCGCGACCCTGCAGAGGCTTCACGAGGAGGAAGAGGGGAAAAAAAAAAGAAAATAACTAGGAAACGAGAAAGAAAAAGGCAGAAAGACTGCCGCAGGTGTTTCCATTAATCACGAAAGACGTTCCACGAAACCTGCGCATGCGTCCTACTCGGTGGGAAGGAATAAAGCCCCCAAAAACGTGAACTTCACGTAGTTTCACCCCCCGATTCCATCTATCGAGGGATCCGTGGCCTGGAAACCTAATTATTCCTCCATTCTCTGGAATTTAATTAAAAGGTGCCCCGAGTCTCTGAGCCCCCCCTTAGCGATTTCAAAACGTCATTGTCCTCGGCGTAACGTCTCCTCCGTGCGAGCTGGACGTCTGACAATAGCCGGAGAAAAAGGGCGAAAAGTGTCGTGAAATAGTGCAAGGGCCCCCGGGCAGGTTTGAGGTTAGCAACGAGTTCCACCGTCCCTGGAAAAAATACCGCAGTGGCGCGCCGGCTTGGTCGAGCGGACCCGGGGGGAACGAAAGCGTGCGCCGCCGCGGGCCGGGGGGTGGGGGAGGACGCGGCGCTCCCATTGGTCTGCCAGGCAGGCGGCTCGCTCGCGCGCATGCGCGCGCCTGGAGCTGCGCGGTGCATGGCGCGGCAGTCGACGCCGGTGACGTCCACGCTCCGTACTCACACGCGCGCGCGACTCCGTGCCGACACGGTCAGTCGGCCACACACGCGCGGCCCTCTCGTATCGGCATTCTCGGCTGCGTGCCTTACCGGGAGCACTATGCCGCATTATAACACGCGGAGTTAAGGGGAGCACGCGAGCAGGCCCGCCGGTGGCCACGGAACGTTTTTCGCATCGCCCCGGCCCCTTGGCGCATCCGAAAGCTCATCTACGGCCGGTTTTGTTTGAGGTTGGGGCCCCAGACGCTGCCACGACGCGACGCCCTTGCCGACACACCCGAGGTATGCATATTCGGACGCAAGGTCGAGAGGGGCCCTTCGATCTTTCCGGGGACCCGTCACCGTTCTCGTCCTCCCACTCGGGAAGGACGACCCGAGATAAAATATATTTAGCTTGAGGTATTTAACTTGGAGACTATAAGGAAGCCTCTATGTGGGTTGTTTCAGGAGAACGCGATGGGCCTCGTAGGTGCACCCACTCGTGCAGGGGATTTTGACTTATTTACCTTCTTCTGGGTTTACACTTTTCCTGGATAAATGTTCAGTTCCTTTTATTCCATAGTTCATTTATGATTTATTTTTATACCCGTAGTAAGGTGTTGTGAACGCAAACTACGGTAGCGTTTTCGGCTGCTTTTGGCTCAAGATGAATCGGAGGTTTTATCTGAAGATGTATCTAGACCCCCCCCTCTAGATAAGCTAATCCAATAGTTCCGTCCCGTAAATATTCGGTAATTGTTTACTCGGCACGTGGATAAGCCGTGCGGACTGGGAGTCTTTCTCCGAGAACATATCTAAGCATCGACGCGGCTCATTTTTCCCTCGCCGATAAGAATTCTAAGGATAATTCGAAAAGATTCATTTGCCTCGGGGCTCGATTGATCGGCCTGGCATCTGGTGGAGCAGAATTCCTCCGATAATCCGCGCTCGTGCCGTATTCACTCTCCTTCGATCCGACTATCCGAGGGACACCTGTTGCAGGTGATATATGGTTCGACGTGTCCGGAACCGAAAGCCTCGCAGCCGGATTGCCGGTGGAAACGGTTGCGATATCGCGAACGAGACTCACGAGTCGGTCGCCATTGTTCCACGGTTTCCCTGCCGTGAGATTGACATGTTTCGGTGTCGATCGGGTGATACAAAAAAATCTTAGTTTAGAGTATACGGGTTTGATTGCGAGCAACTTACCGGGAACGAGGTTTGACGGTATTTTTTTTTATGGTCAACGAGTCACGTGGGATGCAATTAAATGTTAGAACATAAGTGGTCAAGTGGCATGGAGGAAACGAGATTTTTTTTTACCTAGTTAAAAATTCGGACGTTGAAAGGGCGGTGAATTTAAAAACCTTCAGCGGCTCCCTTGCGTTCATTAAGATCGAAGGAATCACCCGGTCGAGATTCGAAAAAGTTCCAGCTGGGGAACTTATCTCGCATCTCGACGACCCCGGCCTTGGGGTGCACGAACTTGCGATGCATGTGACTCGATAAGTTTTCTTTGGCATTTGGTCTCCTCGGCCGATTAAGGTCAGATCGACGTCTAACGATCGAATCGCCGGGCAGAATTTGCGTACTCGCGATTTCTCTTTCCCTCGAAATTTGCCGCGATCATTTGAACGCTAAGAGCGGTGCCAATCGGGCGAGTGATGTTGCGAAATTTACCTACACGCGACTGTCGTAGAAGCGAAAAGAAAACGGAGGAAAATGAAGAAGAAGGAAAGTTAAAATCACTTTATATATGAATTAGCAGGCTATTAAAACGTAACGCCGTAATTACCGATCGCGGTAAAAAAAAAAAAAGAAGCGGTTTACTCTCACAAAGGAGCGGACTTTTCCTCGTCCCGGTACCGCTGGATATAGTCATTAACCGCGGTCATTATGACGGCACACATTGCCGATAATTGATATTTCTATTCCGTGATTACCGGGGACTGTCCGCGAAGCTAGCGAAAACGTCGGTTTTGCGCCGCTCTGTCCTTATTCAACGTCGCCGGGATTCCGAAGAAGTAGGAAACAGATACGTCGTGAGAACGTCGAGGGTCCCTTTCGAGGAGTCGATATTGTGACGTGACCGTCCGACATGCTCCGCGGGCTGCAAAAATGTTGGTATTATCGCGCGACATGAAAGAGCGGACCCGATCGGGCCGGAGGCCGCGGCCCGGTAACGGCCGACCGTGATTGGCCCATTCCGTTGGGCCGGCCGGCCCCATTGGCCCATTCCGTTGGACCGAGCGGATCCCATTGGGCCTCGCTTATCGCTCAGTAGAAGAGTAAAGGTCACTGGCTGGCGGCTCGATGGCTCGATGACTGTCAAATCGCGCTTCCCCGCTCTGCACCTCCCTTTCTACCCCCTCGAATTGCCATGGAACGGGTCGATTATGCAGTTATTCAATTATTCCGCTCTTCGAAAAATACCCTAAACGGAGGCGGGCTCAAACTCGGCCGCGGCGCCAACGGAAAGTCCGGCTCCGAGCCTAACTCCTTTCCGTATCGCGGCCGATTGCGCGATTTATAGACCCTAGGAAAAATGACGGACGATTTATAGGAGCTGATAAGGCCCCGACTCGGTGCGCGCTCCTCGCGTTTGCCTTTGGCCTTGCCTGTCGGCTAGACTTGGAGAACTTTTAACACCGGTATGTAGACCGAGGCCCCCCCGATCGGCCGGAAGTCTTCGGGAAGAATGTTACTCTTCGGTTCTTATCTGCCTTGATGTTAGGAAATTTTCCGATGGCCCCCCGAAATTTTTAAATCTCCCGTACGCCATGCACCTAGTGTCTTAACGTATATATGTATCTAGGTGTTCCTTAACTATCGTTGAACAGACTTTGGATTCACATCTGACACCGAAAATGATTATCACGTCAAGGAAGTACAGGACATGGTTAATGTCATCCAGAGGATGATTAAAGATGGTAAGTTGGTTGAATTATTGTAGTCGCGCTCGAATGGAGAATTGATGCGTTTTTAGTGCTTAAAGGAACTGCTTCTTCTTTTTATTTTTTTTTTTTATTTTCTTTTCTTTCTCTTCCTCATTACGAAATCAGCAGTGTCGTTATCAAGCAACTAGTGTGGAAACGTATTTCTCTACGCGTACATTTCAGATCCTGGACATCATTGTTAATTGTATGGAAAGACCTCTGTACGTGTATACATTACCTGCGTAGTGACGGCACACGCATTTACAAATGCAAAGGCTGACTTACGAAGACGGGTCAGGTCGTATAATATTATAAGTAGAGCCGCATTGCACCTCTTATCACAGTGATAGTCAACCTTTATTCATGAGGTTTTACATTACAGCCGGGTGATGATTATTTTAAACACCGACGTGTCATTTGAATGTCTATTCGCGAGTACTGGAGGGGAAAACTTTCGAGGATGGAACATTTGCACACCTTGAGGCAATGAAGTAAAAAAAAGAAATTCACTCGAAAAAAAAAAGAAATAATAGCTTTCACTTTTAATTACCAGAAATTTCTTGCAATGAAAGGTTGAGATGAAAATAAACCTTCCCTAGCTTTATGCAACGTTACGGTGGAATTTCAATTTAGATCGCTGAAAGGATAAGTTTATCGAATATTCGTTGAATCCGGCTCGTGAGAGTAAAAAATAATTACTCAACTCTTGCGAAGCCTTGGAGTAATATTCTTCCTTTTTTTTCCCCTTCTTTTATTTATCATTATTTAAACCGTGCCAACGTCAATCGCCGAGGGGTAGAAAGTTGATCTATGATAGTCGTGAGATACGATCTCGAAGGAGGAGAAAAGAATCGCGGACGTGCAACGTCAGTCTACTTTTTCGATGAAATGCAGTTTGATGCCCTTTTTATATTGAAAAGAAAAATCGATTTCACGTGTACAAGGAGGTAGAATACTGTTAGGAATTATTTTTTACCGAGACCTTTAACGACTCGAATGAAAGTCTAGGGTTGATAATAATTATTAAAAGAAGAAAAACCGGTGAAAATGTTGTCTCGCATACGTCGCCTCGAGGTTTGCCAAAGTTTGTCGACTTAAGAGATGTGCAGTACGTGACAAAGGCGTGTTTGCTGAACTTTTTCACTTCTCAGGATTGCCTTTTCCTTGGCTGGCTTTGCGAGTCCCCGTGCTTATCACTGTGTTTTCAAAATACACCTGTTTATCGTGGCCGTTCGGGAGCTACCTCGATTGTCGATCGTAACAATTGATTCGCCGATGTCGACGGGTGATACGACGACAAGTACGTAGATACGGCAGGTCTTGGTGTCAAATGAAACTTGAACCGTGATATCGTGAATTAGATTTTTTTTATATTCATTTGCCGCGGTGGATACATACGGCGGGTATTTTTTTTTCGGTCCCAACTTATATCTTAAATTCAAAAAAATATTTGTATGAATAATATACCGCGGAATAGGGCTCTTTAGTATCGAGGGAAAGAATTGACGGCGTGGGCTGCATCGCCGGTGCAACGGGGAACGTTGCGCTACTTGGAATTTTTTTTTCTTTTTCGGTTCCAACTTATATCTTAAATTTAAAAAATATCTATATGAATAATATACCGCGGAATAGGGCTTTTTATTGTCGGGGCAAAGAATTGACGACGTGGGCTGCATCGCAGGTGGAACGGGGAACGTTGCACCACACGAAATTCCTGGAGAGTTGGCCACGGTGCACTGCATGCATTTTGCTTGGCTCGCAGATCGATGCGACTTTTTATGCTTACGTTTTCGCCGGCCTGGAATGGCAACGGCACGTTGGGTGACAATAAAAGAGACTGTTTTAAGAAAGCGGAGACAGGATGGAGGAGATACGGTTACGTGAAAACGTAAGCACGCCTCGCGGGGTGCGCTCCTCGGTGTGCACGTAACTCTACGTGGATTTTTCACGTGCGTGTTTGGGACACGTCCATAAGAGGTATCGGCGATACCGAATGCAAGGAAGGAGGAAACGATAATTTGTATAAACTTCGATCTCCCGCCGATGACTTCCAAATATTGCGGATTGCGGGGAGACGCTCAATTCTCCTTGGTTTTGTGTTTCAGGTCACATTTTCCAAAATCCGGAAGTCGTAAATCTCGTCTTGGAGCCGGGGATATGGTGAGTCTAACTTATTTATGGAAACTGAAAGCTTGAAAAAAATGGAGATGCCGAAAAGGGGGCTTTTTTATTCCATGTCTAATCTCAAACGTAAGATAAGCGATGCAACGGAAAATCTAAGCTCACCCATTGCTTGTATAGCAGGAGTCAAACCGCGACCTTTAGTCTTCCTTTATCAATAGATGTCTGACAAGATTTCCTGGACATGCAATTATTCCCTGCAGTAGAGATATAGACATTATCTGGAGGATCGCGGCGAGGTAAAAAAAAAAATCCTCCGGGGTCTCCGCCCTGTAATAGATGTCATTTATATCTGTACCGATCCTTTTTCTACCGTTGGCGCGATAAGTCGAATAATCAGAGATTTTTGTCACTTCCAGCTCGAAGGACGAGGAAGTGGACAATGACTGCGTAGTGAGGGCTCGCGGGCTTCCTTGGCAGTCGTCCGACCAGGACATCGCCAAGTTTTTCCGAGGACTGAATGTCGTCAAGTGAGTAGAGGGCCCCTCGGCCTTGTTCGTCGTGATTTACCGTGCCCATTCGTACGCCTTCGAGTGCCCGGTACTAATCCAATTGGTACTCGTGCCCACGTTACTTGGTCCCCGGTGTGCACGAGGTAATGGCTTGCCGACCACCTGAGTAAACCCAGTTCCGGATTTGGCGAACAGAAGCGGCGACACGTGGTGGAAACTCCAAACCGGGCAGGGTTACTTCGCCTTATCGGAGTAGCGCGATACCGCCGGCCCGAGTTTCCGTGCGGAAAGAGAAAAATCGGTGAAACCCCGCTTACGACCTCGAACGTCGTGAACGCGATTGCAGTGAGAAAAGAAAAAGAAAAGAAAAATAAGCTCTTTATCGGTACTTCAGATGTCGAGATCGAGTGTCGTCGGTTCTGTAAACGGTCGCTTCGGACACCTCCGTGCCGCGTCCGTGACGCATTCGTGCACTGACGGACATAAAACGTCTCCATGGACTTATATTAGGAATATTAAGAATTTTAGAATATGGACTAATGTTCAAGCAGGTGATTCCGTTATCGATTTTCCTCTTAATGGTCTCCGCTATCGAGCCGATTCCTTTTACGGGATTTTACGTCGTTTCCTCGTGCACCGTCATATTAATGTTGAAGTGACGTAACGCTCGATATCCCCGCATAAAGCCGCCTGGAAACAAGTGGCCGGGTGTAAACACCATTTCGAGAAGTTTTCCTAGGACGTCTTGGCAAAGCGAGGCCGTCATCGCTCCGGGCCGCGGTGATAGGCGCTATCTAGGGTCATGGAACGAACCTCGGGGTGTCGCTCGATTGGCTGGAATTCGACGCTCGCAGCTTTCTTCGCGAGCGGAGAAGCTCCCTATCTCCGGGCTCGTCGGTCTCTCACGCCTCGATCGCTCGAGCCTGGGACCGGAACCTTAATAAGGCGTCATTATACGAAACCTTAAAGACAACGTGGAAACCCCCCGAAGGTTCCACGGGACTCGGGAACCCGGCGAGAATTCAACATCCTGGTCGCCCTACGAGAACGCGAGACGCGCCTTAAAACTTGACCCGGGAAATGAAGAACCTCAAGACGACGCGAAAGCGTAGGTCGAAGAGATATCTCGCTCGCGAAACTCCAAACTGAGTGTGCCGAATGGTTTCAAACTTTACAACCTAAATACAAAGACTATAACAAAGGCCCCGACCCCCGTGAAATGTCAACTCTGTTCGAAACTTCGCGTATTCGCGTAGTGAAGTCTGAAACGATTCGGTACACCTAACTCGGAGAAAAGTTTCGCGAACGGTTAACGATCCCCGGATGCCACTTTCGCGTCGCCTTAAAGCTTCGCGAGCTCCCCTTTTTTATTATCGGCGCCGTTACCGCGAAAGCTCCCGTTCATGAATTTTCCACGACCGCAGATAATTGTTGCACGCTTCTTGTTCGCGGTATATCTCCTACATAGTCGAGGACACGCGGGGCCACGGCGATAGCGGCGCGTTTTCCTGGTAGCTAGGGTCTAAGTAGCTGGAAAAAATGTCTCCAAGAGTTGTATGAAAACGTAATGACACGTCGTTCGGTCCTGGTTGCCGTTGTTTCGCAGGGGAGGCGTGGCGCTGTGTTTGAGCCCGATGGGCAGGCGTAACGGCGAGGCATTAGTGCGTTTCGTCAGCAAGGAACACAGAGACATGGCTTTGGCGAGGCATAAGCACCACATCGGGGCCCGGTACATCGAGGTCTACAAAGCTTCCGGCAAGGACTTCATCAACGTCGCCGGTGGCACCAGCGGGGAAGCTCAGGCCTTCCTCTCGAGAGGGGCCCAAGTCATCGTCAGGATGCGAGGACTCCCTTACGACTGCGTCGCCAAGCAAGTGGTCGGTTGCTTTTGTTGTTAACTGACACACAGAGACCTCCTTATTGATTGTGCACTTTGTAAACGCGACCAGACGAGAGATATCTCTCGGGCGTAGACGCCTTGCAGACCCCCGCTTTAGATAGTGCCGAGTCCGCAAGCGTCTGTTCCGATTTTTTTCTAGCTATAATTATAGACCCCGCACCGTTGCTCCACGTCCGTTTCATTGTTCGAGAGGAGGGGAAGAGGTTTCGGATTTTTCTTTTTTTTTTTTCACCATGGTGATTCGATGATTTTGCACGTTGCAGCTTGATTTCTTCCTGTCCGGCGACTCGCCGTGTCACGTGTTGGACGGCGAAGACGGAGTCCTCTTTGTGAAGAAACCGGACGGCAGAGCCACAGGGGATGCCTTCGTCCTCTTTGCAAAGGACGACGACGCGATGAAGGCGCTCAGCAAGCATCGCGACTGCATCGGCAGCCGGTACATCGAACTCTTCCGCAGCACGACGGCCGAGGTGCAGCAGGTAGGTTTCGTTTATCTCCGACGTTTTGCTAAGTTACCACGGCCGAAGGAGTATTTCTTAAGGCTGAAGGGATGCGACTATCGAGAGTACGTCGTCTTCCAGGTCTTGAACAGGTCCATGGTGGTCGTGGAACATCCGCCCCCGGCGCACCCACCCTTGCCTCTTCCGATGCTCCCTCAGCACGTGATCATGTCCGGCACCCGCAAAGACTGCGTGCGGTTACGCGGGCTGCCCTACGAGGCGCTGGTCGAGCACATCCTGGACTTCATGGGCGAGCACTCGAAGAACATCGTGTATCAGGGGGTCCACATGGTGTACAACGCTCAGGTCGGTATCCAAGCCCTGGTAATGCCATTCATAAACGACATCCTCCCCCATGTCTGGTCGGTAATTGAAGAATTCTAACGAATTCGTCGTTTTTCAGGGTCAACCGTCGGGCGAAGCGTTCATCCAGATGAACAGCGAGGCGTCGGCGGGCGCGTGCGCGTCGCAGCGGCACCACCGGTACATGATCTTCGGGAAGAAGCATCGGTACATCGAGGTGTTCCAGTGCAGCGGCGAAGACATGAACCTGGTGATGACGGGGGCGGTGGTGCCGCCGGCGACGAAATCGCTCCACTCACCCGGTACGTTGACCACGCAAACGCCAGCGGCTTTGGCCCACGCGGCCCACGCGGCCCACGCGGCTCACGCGGCCCAAGCGGCCCACGCGGCCCAGGCCGCGCATGCGCCGCCGGCCGCGGCCCCCGTCGCGCCCGTCGCGGTCCCGGCGGTGCAGCAGCCCCTCTGGGACATCCACGCGCTGGTCCAGGCCCAGGCCCAGGCCCAGGCCATCAGGAATCAGGATTTCTGGCTCATGGCGCTGGCCTCCGGGGCCGCACCGACCGCGACCTCTCCGACCTCCCCGAATGCCGGGGCCACCAGCAAGGCCCTCGCGTTGCCGTCCGCGTCTCCTCAGCAGTTATCCGCCGCGTATACGGTCCAGGCCCCCCCGGGTGCCGCAGCCGCCGCCGCCGCCGCGGCCCTCCACCACCACCACCACGCCCAGGCCACCTCCGCACCCTTCCTCCTCTTCAACATGCCCTCGCGGATCCCCATCCTGAGGGCGCCCCCGCCCCACGCCCTGCTCCCACCGCTGGTGCAGGCCCCTCTCAACCCGGCCACCCTGATGGGCCTCAAACGCACCTGGAACGGCGCCTTCCCTGCGGAGGCCGCCGGCAGCGCTCCCAAGCGGCCCGCCTGGCAAACTCCTGCCGCCTTTCCCACCGGCCAGGCCGCCACTCCCGGCCTGCCCTATCCGGCCCAGTTCTATCCCCAAATGTGATCGGACCCATGGTGCCTTTCGCTTCCACTGAGCGTTTCGAGGGTCCCGAGAGAGAACCCGTGGATGTAGCTTCCCGATCGGAGGACCCTTTCCGGGGAATTCCTTCGCTTTCGTGGACTGTCGAGGGCGCTCGCTTGTGGGGTCATCTCTTTCACGAGTTCACTGCCTACACCTCTAGTGCCTCATGGGAAAATTCAAGGTCTCTTAAGGAACCCACACTCGTGTCCGGGGATTCGGCATTGTTGTATAGAAATTAGACTGTAACGATATGGCGTTTAGAGTTCCGAGGGGTAACCCGTTCATGGTGGATACCGTCGATCGGGTTGTTTGGCGGACTCGTGGGAATTGGTTAACGCGCTGATCTTGGTACCTTCGTTGCGCAGCTTGCTGATCAGGGATGATTTCTTTGACTGGCAGTTTGTATATCATATGACGTTTCTAGTAGTTTGCAGAGTGCTAAGGGAACAGGCGGTTTGCGAAAGTCTTCGAGTGGAAAGCGATTCGTGATGGGCGTGCTTCGGCTTTCGTTAAAGTGATCCAGGGATTCCGAAATGGCGACGCTCCGTTGATAGGGTGCGACGGGATCGATTCATCGTACATTCCATAGTTGTCTCTAGGAGGAACCAATGTTCTTCGTTTACATCCTTGGTTATTTTTTCTACCCTTTGCCCGCCATTGGGCCAGTGCCTTTGAGTTTCTGCCTCGAAACTAATTTGCCGCGGTGATAGAGAAAAGTACTTAGGACCGATTGTTACATTGTTGACAGTCCAGTAACTGTAGACAAAGGTACTACTGTTTTTCTTCTTTTTTTTTTTTGTAATCCATACACGAGTAAAACGGACTTTTACCGCAAATCATGTAACTTGTAATATAGAATGTACGAGCGCTCGTGTCCTCTTCGACTTATCGCGACGGACCAATTTTTATGGACATCGTTCGATCATCGTCGATGAGAAGACGTTACAATGGGACTAATTGACAGCGCCGAAAGTGCCTTGGAAGTCCGGGCCGATTTATATTCGCGGTCCCCGACTTCCCGCGTTAGTTAACGGTGTAAATAATAATTATGATATATACCGAGAGAGTTTTCATAAAATGATTTATATATTTTGCTAGGCGTATATACATATTATATATATATATAGATATATATATATTTTAGTAGCGTTAAGTCGTGGAAATTCCATCCAGTTTATCGATGTTGTTAGGCTCGGTGACTATCGGCGGGTCTAAAGCTCCGAGAATTCGAATTCTTCCAGTCGACTCTGTCTTCGTGGACGGTTCTCTTCCCGTTTTTTTATTAGCCGCAGAATTGCGAGTCCACGGGAATTAACGTTCGATCTTCGGAACATTCCTCCCTCGATTTGCCGCATTCCCTGTGACGAGGACGAAGCGATAACGTCGCTTTTGATTGCGCGTACGTTTCGATCGACAGGACTCGGCAATATTTTGCGGATACTTTCTTTTTCACTTTTTTCAATCGGTATATTTTCTGCAGTGCTCCGATACTTAATTCGCTTAATTCGACAGCTATAGTGCGACTCTTTCGAGACTTCTTGACTTAATCGTGATGATTAGACCCGAAAGTTGTGGAAATTAAGTCACCTCTTTTACGAGCACCTGATGCGAGTAACCCTACTTTTATTTTATTTCTCCTTCTTTTTATTCTTAACGAATGTCGCTATTTCTTGGGGTTGTGATTAATATCCAGACGTGTCGGCGAGATCGATGGACCAAGGTTGCAGGAAAACGCGCGAGAAAATAGGGGAAAGGATGCGACCCACTTATGTCGCTCAGTGGTCGAGTTTTTGGCTCTCTTTTTAAGCCTAGTGCCACGATTTTCTTACTCCGTCCCTGGTGTCGTCTCCTCCCGAAAATCGCCGCTCTTTTGCATACCTTGACCTCGCCCATTATATTGTTTCCTGCTAAGTAACGCAACGCAAGTTAATTAATCGAGCAAAGATACCGAACGATTGAACGCAAAACAATTACAGAGATTTTCAGTTCTTGCCATTTTTTCTTTTTTCTTTTTCTGGTGAATTTTGGATTATTCTATGATTTAAGAGATCAGGAAAGCACGGGTAAAAAGTGTCAGCTGTGATTTTCTGATTATAGTTCTCACTTGTTCTAATGTCAAAATAATTGGCGTTGCTTTTTAGGAAAGTTGTAGTAGACCTTTACACGCGGTTGTTCGTTGAGAAACACACGATATCAATTGTAGTTACGTTCAAGGAATTATTCTCCATTAATAGTGGTTTATTTAATTTTTTTTTGTCTCTTTAGTAGACATCGTTACTTAAATGTTATTAACTTTCTTGCGAGTGTACCATGTATCCCTTAATTCTTTCTTGCAAGTACCGAATAACCCTCCATTCGAGAAAAATTCATACTTTAGAGTGATGTCTTCCAGCGAAGTAACGTTTAAATGTGAATAACACTTCAATATCGATCAGTCAACCACTTTACAAAGTTGGCTCCTGTTTAAATTATAAATAGTAACCAGTGATCGACTTATCCACTTTTCGTGGTCGCTGCTGCGAAGTACTCAGTTTTTAACATATCATTATTAATTGCTCAAAGTACGTGCCTTAGACGGAAGAGAGAATTTGTGTCGACACTTTACAGTCTCACAATTCCGATTAGAGGGATGCACATAGGCAAATACATAATCTATAAAATCCGCTCAAAATGAGGAATTTCATTTCGTTGAACTAGGTGAAAATAAAAAACGTTCATGTTCCTTTTGTCGAACATTACAGCATTCCGATTGTCTCATTTCTTTTTTTTTTTCTTTTTGCCAAATGCAATCGGCATTAATCGCCAGATATTTTGGATCAATATTAGCAATGATCGTTGCGCAAATTTGAAGAAACTGCGTCGAAATGGCTGTAAGAGAGTACTTGAACTTTAGCCGAGTTTTTTTTCGGAGTGATCACTCGTTTCTTCGCGAAGCAACCTGTTACTTAACCCAGGCGCAAAATCACCGCTAAGTACTGCGCACAAATTACTCACAGTGTATATAAACACGCTAAGACAATAATTATCGATTACCCTAATCGAGCGTGTTCGATGCAAAGTGCATCGAGTTGACTTTCGCTGTGCCACGAAATAACGTTAAACCTGATAAGAAGAAAAAAAACACGGTTACTTTTCGTTAGCTATTTTTTCTCAGTCCTCTCTCAGAAACTATATCTGTTTTTTCTTTTTTTTTTTTTTTTTACTAAACAAAAAGATCTGCCATTTGGCAATAAAATTAGGGTTTACATTAGCGTTTACATAAGTCTCCGATTAGGCTCTACATGCAATAGTCGCTTCTGTAGTCCTAAATTTTAATGGCATTAAAAACCCATTAAGACTTCACGTTTCTCGTCGCTTTGTTTTTTTTTTTATACGGTGGCTAACAACTTAAAACAATGTAGCAGCTCATTACATCTAGTGATAATGTCTCTCGCTTAGTAATTACCTCGTTACGTTTAGTTGTATCTCGCTGGTTGTGCTCCGAAAAATTCAGCTCGATTCTCGGTTATCTCTCTTACAAGAGAGTTTCACACGAGACTCCACGGTTTCCCCGAATCCCACATTTTCTCAAATTACTTCGTTAATCGTGGAACTCGACGTCTCCTTCTCTTCTGTACCCTCAAGGCCTAATTTTCTTCTTTTTTTTTTCCCCCGTTTATTTCTACCCACTGTGCAAGCGAAAGTTAACCGAGAAAAGTACACGATGCGTGATTATGGTACGGTTTCCTGCATTTACATTTGTACTTCTTGCATTTACCCCCCTCCCGTCTCTGACATTAGTATTTCCTCGTAAAATGCTCCTCGATGCGATCGTTACTAGGAATTAGGGACGCCTCCATTAGTGCTCCGAAACTAGTGAACGAACGGATAATGGAAAAAAAAAAATCGTAATGAAAAAGAGGGGGACAGTGGTACTCGTGCATACACACACGCCGGGTGTATACCCTCACATGCATACCTTATTTTTTTATCGCAGTATACTACCTGTATATCGTAGGATGATGATGATTTATATTAATATTCAATAATCATGTTTAATAAATGTACTCGTGTCTAGTGGAGATCTTTTGCGCTTGTTGGGTTTGGTGGACTCGTACGTGGACGGGACGACTCGCATTATCTCGAATTTGGACGTTAATTATCAACATTTCTGTCATTTAACTAAACAAGGTTTTCTATAGTTAACGTGTTTACCATGAACATTCCGGAAGAATAATTTTGTAACTGCACCTGATTCCCTGTCGAAGGGGCTCACATTCATTTTTCTTGTATCACGCGACGGATTTTAATTAATTTCTTTTATTATTATTAATTGAACGTTCTATCAAAGTATTCGGTGTATTTAGAGGTATCCAAATTCATCGGGTTTTGCGAATCGTCTTGTACACGTATACCCTGATATTACCTACGCACGGTGGTCGTACTTTTTGCCATGATCTCTCTTTGTCGTTTCCCTCTCTCTTCCCTCGCTTTCTCTCTTATCATTCAGTTCTATCATTCGGTGAGATCGATCGGACACGTTGCACATACGTTGCGATGGGGATCCTCGGGATCTAATGAGAGGTTTTTACTGCATGGGACTCGGTACATACCGGATACGGAAGTGTACTGGCTTTTCACGTTTTTTTGTTAAGTGCATGCCTCGTGTTTTGTATTACCTTTAGCCTCGTTACTTTTTTTTACCCGAACGTCTGTCGGGTTTGATATTCTTCGAGTCGATAATCCTAGATTGATCGACGATGATGACGAGTGTCGTCTCGGCAAGGAGCTTATTACAAAAAGTACGGTCATCGCAACATCCTTGTCTCTATATGTCCTTCGCGAGTTCTTACTCTGCGCATCTCGTTGGTATCTTTGGTGCGAGTGATAAGAAAAAAAAATAATAAGCGAGAAGAGATGCGTGGAAACATCCTGTGTGTCGTGGCTCTTAACTCTCTAATTGCGTTCTCTCTCCTTTCTCTTTCCGTCTTGTAATTCGCCCGTCTTCTTTTTTTTTTTTATTTAGAATCATTGCTCATTAATAAGAAAACAAATCGTAAGCGAATTGGATGAGTTCTCGTTGCGCTGTACTCTTTTGCATTATTTCATGCATTCGAAATTCCGTTTTTCCTCCTTCAAACATTTTCGGACTCCTTCACACCTACTTATTCGCGTTTTGTATTCGCCTCTCGGTAATTTACACTGAGATGATTATTTGCAGTCTAATTTTGAAGTATGTGACTTTCAGGGATTTCGTTAGAGGCGGTCGGTGATAACGTAACGAGTTACGGGCCGTACAAAATCGGGAATGGATAACCGTAAATTTAATGGAAAAGTTTCACTTAAAGTATTGTCTGCCTTTAATTGCCAACCGTTACGTCGTTAAAAAGTAATATATCCTTTTACGGTATGACCGACTAGTTGAAGCAGAAAATCGAGAATCTTCACACGTGAGATCGAAGTACTTTAGCGGTTTTCTTTTTTTGGATTTATTTGGTATTCATTTTAATTCGCAACTACTGATATACAAATAGAAATAGCGATGTAAAAAATGTCTTGTCAAATTATCGTTTATTACCCAGCATTACTAAAATCATACAAAAATATGAATTGCAATTGAGCGCAGTCAACCGAGATCCTTCCTTTGTCGTTTCCACCTCTTTGGACATCTTCACGTTCCTTGCCTTATTATAAAAAAAAATTATTGATAACCAATTGTCGGGAAAGAAAAATGTTCTCAAGAGCCCAGAGATACCCGCGTCGATGCTTGGAGTATAAAATCGAAGCTAATGGGTGTCTCATCGTTTAACTGCAAACGATGGGATTGATTTAGCGATCTGACGGGGACGAAGGAACCGGAAGTGTTCCTTCGCCTCTGGTCCGAACCTTTAGCGTAATTTTTTAGTAATTTTTAACCGGACCCCCACCGGCTTGGCAGTAATCGCAGCAAGCTCACGAGAATTCGTGTAACGCTCCTCGTGTCTGGTGGTTAATATCTCCCTCTATCTTTTCTGTTACCTTTTAGCCCACTTACACGTAATGAGACACATTTTGTGGCATCGCCATCCATAGATGTGCCCAGGACACCTGGAGCTTTATAATGAAACGTACACCTTTTTTACTCTTTTTACCTCTAATAATTACACCGCCCCGAGGAATAACTTAGCGAATTACCGAAGGTGGGGAGGTGGTCTTAAAAGGCGGCACGTCGGAAATTATTTTCGGGTCATGCGAGATAATTAGGTTCTCTCACCACTTTTTTTTTTCTTTTTTTTTTCCCCTTTTTAAACCCCCGGTCAATCAGGACGGCATGCCAAGTTCGGGACAGACTTTCATAGAGAGTATTCATTTTTACGAGCCATTTGGTAATTAATAATTATCTAGTCATGCTACACCCACCAAGGGACAATTTCGCCCGTCTCGCTTCTGCGGCGAAAGGTGCAAAAATGAACGTTGATAATGAAATTTAAACCGGGATACGAATCGTTATCGGCAATTAGTGATCAATCTCACTCGACGAGTACACTTAAAAGTTTATAAAAAAAATCACGTGCTAATTGCGGCTCTTTAATTCCTTGATATATGCTGGTCATTATGTGAAAGCGATACGAACGAATTTCTGGCCGATGTCGATTGCTTCGTTATCGAGGCAGCCTCATTCGCATTTTGCCATTTTCTTTTGCGCATTTGCTAACTCATGGTTATCCATTAATGCTGCGTTCTCCAGAAGATAGCTCCGTTCGTGTAGCTTCTACAATACATCCAATTTAATACTGACTAACGTGGCGATGAAATTCTCCCTGGAATTATTCGATATCAATGGAAACATTTAAAGTGTACTCGCTGCGAGTGAACGAATGCAATTTCTTTGGGATTCTTTTTTTTTTCTTTTTTTTTTTTAAGCTTTGTACCTTTGAGTTTGCAGCGTAGAAGCGATGCGAACGAATCCGAGGTCGATTCCGACAGCCTCGTTGTCTCGATGGCCTTTTCCTCTCCTCACATACTCGGGATTTCTGGTGTGTGCCTGGTTAATGGAAATACGACTTAATAACCCCAGTGTGTTCCTAGTTCGAAAAACCTCCCAGCACGAAATTAACGATACCCCGACGTACCACTGCAGTCGATTAACGCAGAGAAGTCCTGTAAGACGACGACGAAGAGGACGTTGAGAGTATGTTCCATGGACACCGCAGTGGTACGATGGTACCACTGGTCTGCTAGTAACCCGGACGAGAAAAAGAACTAGGGGCTGTTACATGCTGATACACACTTTTTGGACAAGCTTACTGTGACATCACGCCGAGAGAAAGGGAAAGAGAGAGAAAGAAAGAGAGCGAGTGTGCGAGTATGTATGTAAGACAGAGTTGGACCATTAATTGTAATGAAGTCTAGTAATTCGGACTAAAATTGAAAATTAATCATTTTCGAGGTTCAAATACGTTTAATATATTTTCGAAATTTTCCTTGACGAACTCTGAAACCCTGGAGTACTCCGGAACTGACTTTTTATTTATTTATTTATTTTTTCATAATCGACAACTTCAATTTGACTATTTTTAAGTACAATTTTTTTTTAATGACGTTACTCCGATTGGGCAGAATTTTCAACGAGGAATTTTAATATTTTGGAGCGTTCCAGGGTTAACATCTCTTTTTTTAGCCTCGAGCATTTCAATTTGAATTTTTTTTTTTTTTTAAGTATGAGGGGAAATGCAAATTTGATCGGACGAGGTCCAACTCTGATGTGCGAGGTCGATTACGGTGAGAAAGAGAAGGAGCGAATGGACGAGGGTGTGTGTAACAGTGGTCTTTATCACATGGTGACTTGGCGGATGAGGGGGCGGAATCGCATAAGTGGTGCGGTGCATACGGAGTATTATTATTTATTATGTTTACAATATGGTGCAGTGTCGATCGTGGTATGGTAGCGGGACCTACGTACAATACTAACTTCTGTGCTTCCAGGTAGGCCAAGTCCAATCATTATTCCTATACCGACGTTGGTGCACGATTCTCTATGAAATCGTCAACGATTCGGACCTAATCTGAAAGGAGCTCGTTTTGTCCACTTCAATCTAAAGAAAAACCATCGAAGAGACAATCCATTTTCGGACAATTGTGCACTGACGCCGGATCTGCGAAGTCTCGTTGCGAAGGACGATTTCAGGGGAAATATTAAAAAGAAAAAAGTTTATAAACTCCCCTAAAAAAGGAAATGTGAATTTTTCATTGAAAAAAAAAAGAAATGGTTAAGGACGCGATGGCTCTTTCGAAAATGTTGGGTATACATTTTTTTAAGGAACAAGCCTCGAATCGAAACCGCAGCGCGAGTTCGCAGAGCCATGGTGGCATTTTAGCATAGCGAGTAGACCTTTTTTGTTTTATTTGTACATAGATATCATTTGGGGTGACATCGGTTAATTGGCTGATGGTCTTCACACGTATATGCAAAGGATTAGCTTTCTGCGGGATGGCCGAGCGATACATTAGCGTGGGGTTTTCACGTTTCATTCTGGAGGATCCATCGGGAAGAGCCGCGGTGTCTTTTCTGCAAATGCTTCCCACCGGGCGAGAAAGGAAAGAAGAGGACCTGCGTCCTGGCTTCTTCCCTTTCTTCCCGTTTGTTCTAACCGAACTCTCCCTCTCTTTTTTTGCTAGCTAAAGATTCACGAAGACGTCCTTCCTCCGTCTCGACGAGAGGCCTCGGTGTAGTTTGAACTTTTGATTTGTGTTTGTTTGTTTTTTTTTTTTTTTGGAAGGCATCCAGCTAGCTCAAGGAAACTTCGCGGATTCAAAAAACTCGGATTCCATTGAAGCTGCTCGATCGCACGGAATTGTTAAATTTCAGAGATGCAAGGGTCAAATTTCTCCCGGAAGAAAATTACTCTCATTGACAATCTCTTTTGATAAACCACTTGAAATTATTTAAATACGAATCTGGAGATTTTCTTGACGTTTCATCGATTGCAACGTTACCGAATTATTTCTGTGTAACTAGAAAATAACGAGACATCGCTTCTGGATTTGTTTTAACGCGATCCTCCGGCTTCGCTGGGATTCGAATTTTCGAGACCGCGAAGACTCCTTGTCGTTAAGGAACTCTTAGCTCTTGCACGAAGGACCCGACCGAACGGAAGGATCTTCCCCGATGGGTTTTCTAACGACGGTCTCTTTCCTTAGGGAGCACCATGATGCCGCCGCCCTTCGGCTCGGGAGCCATGTTCCCGCCACCTCCGACGATGCTGCCAAGAGGACCGCCCCAATTTGCCCCTGCATACCCGCCGATATTTTATTGGCATTATCCGTCACCGCCTGTCAGCCCTACGAATTATTACAGTCCTGCCAATGTGGGAGGAATGACGCCGATGCCCCAGCAGGCCGCCCTGGTCAGTTTCGAAGACGGCACGTTTAAGGTACACTTGCTGCAAAATAGAAATTAACGTCTACTTAAAATTAGCGATACTCCTTTCGTTCCTATATTAAGGTGATATGAAAGAGTCATTCCACATATATAAGCCGTAAAAATATTTATATAACTTTTCCCCAAACTAGATGCACCGAATCGATCGAAACTGCAGCATATGATTATGGAGGCCCTAAAAGAGAACGTAGTGTTCATGAGATTTCATGTTTGATTAAAAATTTTCTTTGTCCCAGACTAGAACCAAGAATACATATTTCCTTTTTTTAATGAAATTTCATGAGCACCATGTTCTTCCTTAGGGCCTTCATAATCACGTACTGAAGTTTTATAAATGTCTTTACGTTTTATATGTATATGTTGTTATATCACGTTGGAAGGACCACTAACGTTGACTTAGGTGAAAACACGCATGCGATTTATCTGCTGAGTATAGCTGTGTTTTTATTTACTCCTGCGTTTTGCATATTTCATAGTTGACCCCACCGGAGTGCCTGCAGCTCGCATTGCCAGAACCTCGAATCGATGGACTCGTTCCTCGTGCAGAGGTTGACAAGAGGATGCCACTGCCGGCCATACAGGCGCCCTGCAACCAATTCGTCGAACTCTTCATGGTCTGAGCCCAGCGGATCCCTGAACTTCGGCCTCATGTCGGGTCTCTTAATTTCCCGAGCGAATAACCTTGCCTCGCCTGAAATAGAAACCTCAAGTGATATTTATTTCCTCCTCTCG